TTTTCAAGACGTACGTACACGCTTTCAATGCTAGCCATCCAATACTTGCTTCCACTTGCAGCTTTAGCATTCAGTTATTCACAAATTGGTTCTGCAATCTACAAACGTGTCAAAGCGAGCACAACGATAGGTCAGAAGCGTCGACAAGTTATGATGCAAAGAAATAGGTTAGAATCTTTTCCAGAAAATTGAAGTGTACTTGTTAATTCCGGTTGATTAAATGAATTCTATTTTCATCAAGAAGAGAAAAAAATTTAATTTATTATGGTGATTTAGTTAAAGGAGTTATAAAAATGTTGAAGTACTTTTTGAAATAGAGATTTTCAGAAAAGCGCTGTTGTTGCTGTCATTATTAGTATTGATTTATGCAACAGCATGGTTTCCAATGAATGCTTACAATGTTCTAAATGTTCTCGAAGTAATCGAATTCTCTCAGTACAGGTTATTTTATTGGTCAAGAACTATTAAGCTTATGATCCTTCACCTTAGCTTCATTACAACAACCATCGTGTTCCCTCACAGCATCTCGATTTTATTTTCAGATATTTGTTTTGTCATTTGGTTGGAATGACATCTGCATGCATAAATCCCATCTTGTATGCACTGATAAATGATAGTTTTCGAGCGGCTTTCATTTCTATTCTTCGCCCAGTTATTCGTCCGTGTGCAAGATATACTACTGTCTCAACAAATCATCAAAGCACTTTTACTTTTTCTTTTAACGAACGTGAGCTAGTCAACCATAACAAAGCACAAATATCAATTTAAATTATCTTCCAAATCAGAATACCGTCATACTTTTCTACCAAAATTCCTTTTTTCTCCAGATCTAAATCGTTTAATAATTTTGAATGAGTAACTTTGTTGCTTGAAGTTTGAATGTTGAAAAATTAAATTTTAGCAGGATATTCTACCACCATTCGCCATGCTGAATGAAACGAGTGAGAATATTTTTTAGCTTACCGACTGACTACTGACAATGACCGGAATTCCAATGCATAATTTTAACATCACTTATAACACATCATTCTGCTACTAGTAACTTCGGTAATCACATTTCACGTGTATGTTGGTGAGATGGCCGATCAGTTAGTTGTAGGTATTAGTTTCAGTTTAAGTATCTGATTTCCATGTTCCATAAATTCTTGTATATGACGAACGAAAGAAATTTCTGTAAATAAGTTTTTATCAGTTTGGGATAAACAATCTCAAATAGTAAAATGCATTCATATGTGAAGGAATGGGGTCGGCAAATGCTTGAACAATTTCCGTTCATAAAACTGGATAACTTCAAATAGAGACAAATTATAACAAAGCTTTTTTTTAATGCTTCCAAATAAATTATTTTGAAACAATGTTTTCTGATACTGGAGAAGAGTAGCATTAGTACAACAGCTCCACAAGTGTTGGAAGAAATTTTCAGTATGGAAAAACATGGAAGCTTGAGACACAATGGACAGTGCCCGAGTCAGACATCGCATCCTTGGTTCACAAAAGGAGTGCTCTCCGTTCAAAAATCTCCATGCCTATATACTAATTCCATATCTTTTTTCATCCTCCGAATTTGGTTTCATCATTTATTTACCATCTTGTCCGTTGTCCTATTCACCGGTTACTTTATGCCAATCACTGTCTATTCTAGCAGAAGTTACCTAATAGCCATTGCTTTACAAAGCTTGTCTCACAATTGCTCGAAACCGAGTTCTGGTTCTTTTGTAAATTCATTACTCCATACTGCATAATAAACTGTAAAGTGATTTAAAGATTCAGTTCATTCAAGTGAATTATGCCACAATCAACAAAATCACAGCACTCATCTCTAATCTTCATTAATTGACAAGCTACCTTTTTTTTAAATGTTCGCTTCAGTCAACTTGTAACTGCGTTTTAAAAACTACTGTGCAATCAGATACGTGTACAAAACCTCAACAATATAAAGGACATCTGATGCCGCCACACTCGAAATAGCACGCAAATTATCTATGCGCTTGCCAATTTTAGGATGTAAATAACTCATATGACTCAAAATCCTCAAAACTTGTTGAAATGAAAGTGGTCTCTCGACGGGAAAGCTCTGTTCGGGACGTTTTCAACAATGGTCGACGTGGAGGGCCATTGGAAGACGTAGGTTGAACCACTTTAGGTGTCAGTCACCTTCACTTGAAGGATAACGACTGCTCCTATATACGTGATCTATTAAGTCAGAGAATTCATTGTTGTAACAGTGCTGTAGCCAAATGTGCCTTCTGAAAATGGTATATGAAGCGTTTCCCCAGCTTACTTTTCGAATTGTTTTTACATATGATAGTAACTTCGCAAGTATGTTATTACATCGAAATAACAAGAGATAAATTAAGGCATAAATACAAATAAAATATAAAATTGCAGCTAATCACAGAAGGCCGAACATGAGAGCTTACTTCTTTTTTATCCCAGTGAAGGTCTTGACTCCTAAAGTGTGCAACCGGAATTCGACACTGTGGTACAATCAGAAATATAAATTACGAAGTACATTTGAAAACATAGAATAAATAATCCTATGCCAATGTAATGAAACTACTGATGACCAGACAACAAAATGAACACTATTCACAGCGGTGAATAGAGGAATGGTCGCCAAAGATATGTATGTATGCAATGATCATTAAATGAACACAACAAGAAAAAATCACAGAATCAATGTGGTAATTTATCAACTGAAATGCAGTATCTCCTTTTAAGCAATACAACAACTTTTATAAAAATTATGTTTTACAATAACTTCGTAATCTTCATTAATGTAATTCACGATTCTTATTTTTATTGTTCATTGCATCTTTTAACTGATTACATAAAAGGAGCACGAGTATAAAGCGAGCATGTTTAAAACAAGATCAATGAGCAGAAGAATCATCATTTTAGAACTTCAATAATTATTCATGGTTTTTGAGTGGCTCTACTGATGACATTTCCTTCACATTCGGCGTATAATCACGTGCCATCAAACACGCAAAGACGGTCATCACCATTCTCGGTTTAATATGAACACGGAACTGCAAGACATAAAATTATTTCGGATATACATCAAATTTACTGGTCTCATGATTTATTTTACCTTATAATTTTCTAGTCGCTTATCTAAAATATTTTTACTTGTTCAGTAAATATAGCCCATCTAGCTTCTTTATTGGCTATAGTTCCACTGTTCCAATTTTTTGTTATATGCTTCAGAAAAATTACGCTTGAAATTACCCTCACATCTGGGATGGAATTATTCGTCGAAATTTGTGAAAAAATAATCCCAAATTTTTGGTAGTTATTTTCACTTTCTCTACTATATCCCACACATCTTTTCTTGCATATTGATTCTCTATGGAAAATGTGAGAGAAAAGCTAGGAATTCTTGCATTAACTATTCGGTTCTTACATTAATACAGCACAAAAAGTTCTTGTTGACATATTGTAAGTGCATTTTTATCTCGTCTGTTATCTTACACCTCTAAAGATGTTGTTAATGTTCTATGTTGGTACAGACCAAGCCTATGTAGAAAGACGATACAGACCACTTTAATGAAAACATTAGCATGAAATTACTGCTAGGCTTTCTTTAAAAAAAATTAAAAAAACAAATTTTAAAAAAAAAAAAAAAATTCTTAAATATTTTTTTTTCTTAAAAAAAATTACTGCTAGGCTTTTTCTTAAAAAAAAAAAAAAAATGTAATATTTGTAGTGATAATGTGATATTTTGATTATGAAAGCAAAGTCGTTGGCGTCGGATACGCTTCGTTATGGTGAAATCGCAGTAAGATTATAGAATCTTTATTAATACATTACAAATTTAAGATGAAGAATACTATTATACACAGTAGCAAATAAGAGAAAGTATAATCTCACGTTGTTATAGTTGACTTTTAATCGAAGAAGAGATTAACAGTGAAACCTCTATTTGTCCCAGAAGTTAACAGACCTTCAAGAAGGTGAATATGATTTTGTCCTTCAAAAGAAAACCCAGATTCTCATTTAGTGTTAGATTTGTATATGTTAAGAGCTGGGAGTGGTTTACAACAGATTTACAATGGATTACCATAGACATTACACTAGATGTTTATTTGCATACTGTATAGAGGTTATAATAAAATCAAAGCGGGAGATTAAGATGTGAATTCTTGTTAAATCAAAATAACGAAAGGAAACGCAATACAGCTAAGGAATCTAAAATTCCTTAAATGATTCATAGTAAGTGATTCATAACATTGTTAACAATTATTTACAACTTCAACGATTAAATTTTATATAAATTAATTTTATTATCTTATTTGAAGTTTCGCGATATTGAAATTCGCGACAAAACTCACCATAAAAATCTAAATTTCTTCTCGCTAACACTATTTGATCATTTCGATTACAAGGATGTGGTTGTTTAACTTGCTATTTTTTCCTGCTTTTGCGTTTTTAATCTCATTTTCATCAGGTTGGTTTTCATTTGATTGAAAAATGGATAGATTCATCAGGAAAATTTGAGCGCCTCCTGAAATTCTTAAAAACTTTGGTTTGTAATGAAACACCCTTAAAAAGGTAGTGGTCGATCCAACGTTTTTACAAAAATTTAGGTTGCGAAATTATCGCGTTTTTATATTCAGCACATCCAACAAGGCGTGTAGGAAGGAATCATTCTAGAAATATCATTCAGTATGAACAAGCAAAGTAAGCATTCTCAAGTTTAGGAAAAAAACATTTTTTCTGACCTTCTGATACTTAGTATTTTCTTTTTTACTCAAACAAAGTAATCTAAACCATGGTCATAAGTTACATTTACATAATAGGGTTGGAATGAATAAATTACCATGAATAATTTATGTGAAAAGTAATTACAAAAACATAATTTCAACTGGAACAAGTCAATATATACATGTTTTGTTGAAACTCAAATCCTTCTTGATGAAACTGAAGTAAACTTAATTAATTGCTCCTTGCTAAATCAAAATTAGTGTTGATATCCAAAAAAATCAGAAGCATGATTAATGGATAAAATATCTAAAACGTTGTGTAGATTAAACGAAGAGTACAAACAAGTGTATGAAAATGAAAAGAAGGAAGCAGAAAGTGAGCGCTTCGTTGTCGAAAATTTCATGTTGCAAGAACGAGTATCATTCCTACCCATGACCAGTTCAGCAATGGTATCTATATATAAGCGTACTGAATTCATGGGTTTGTTGATATACTTCTACTTATTATCTGATCATATTGAATTGAACTATGTCTAATGCAAATTTTATTTTAAAATTAGTGAATATATGTCATATATAGGGCGCTCCAAAAAAATTTGTGGACTAAAGATTAAAAGTAATACGTTGTAGTCTTATCGGCTGGTATTGTGCTGTACTGGGTTGTGATGGTATTCATCGGAACGATGTTAATAATGTGCTGCATATGTACAAGGTCCCGAACAAATCGGGATGAAGATGGAGAGCTTCGAAAAAACAGAAGAGAGGATATAGCAGAAGATGCATAGCATTAATCCTTTTATGACTTTCATTTTCTGCATCTTAGTTTCACCTTACGTTTAACATTTATGGCATGAAATGTTTAGTACGTATATATATGTAGCAGTACTTCATTTCATACTTCTATTCAATGTGAGAATTTATGCAATTAAGTACGCTATTTCTTAGTTTCAGTTTTTAATTGATGACCTTTTAAATGTTACTGACATCTGATTACTTTCAAAACGATTTTCTAATGATTTTTTTCTTTTTTTTTTTTTTTTTTTGAAACTCAGAGTTTGATTTCATGGTACCTTTAAAAATATTTGTTTCTTCAGTTATGAAATGCTACCACTTTTGGCACCTGAAATTCTTGCACTACACCTATGATGTTTCAGAAAACTTTATCTCCGGTGCAAACACCTTTTAGTTTCACCACAAAGTATTTATAAAGATAGTAATATGGAAAAGATGGTATTTGTGTTACAATTTCAAAGTAATAAATTTAATATTCACCATGTTCTTTTTCTTGTATATACGTATATCATTGCCGGTTTAAGCAGATCTCATTGTTTTAGAAAAAGTTTTGCACTGGGAATCTTGTTGCTGTGAATGCACAATTCCTGGAATAAGTAACGTATTAAAACACGAAGTAAGTTTTATCATTGGGTCATTCTTCATCAAGGAGCAATCAGTGTCGATAAGATGAATTTCTGTCGTGACTAGAGCATTTTGATATGCTCAATTCATTTCACAGAGTTGTTGCAAAATTAGCTGAAACAGTTACGTTAAGAACCTGCTCTTCAAAATGCTGCCGTTGTCAACAAATATAATGCCATGATATCAAAAACTTACTCTAATGAAATAGTAAACAGATGTAATTTCTTTTTTCTGAAGCGGCCGATTTTAGATCTAATCACCAGTTGAGAAATAAAAATCATGGATAACAAGAAATGAATACCAAAATAAATCAGCGAGTCTCAAAATCATTCAGAAACCTGGCCGAATATGAGAAATGAGAAAATCAAATAGTTACACTTACTAACAAACACTTTTTTTTTGATCCATAGGATAATCTGGAGTAGGTATCGCTATTGCCTGTATCTTCCTGAGAAAAAAAAAAAAAAAAAAAAACTTTTAATGAAATTCTATTCATAACTGCTGATTTTCTAATGTGCCCAGCAATCATTTTGTTTTAGGATCACTGCATAACTTTTAGAAAAGTTGTACGAAGTCGAAAAGTTTAGGTACGTAATTTTACAGGAATTCATCTGAGTGAATCTCAGATTAAACTAATAATTGATTAAAATCCAATGTACTTGTTCTTTTGCGGATGTAGCCCGCTTCGTTCACTGACCGAAAACATTTTTTCTTCAACGAAAATTTTTTTATCAGACAATGCGTTTTGAGCATAATTCTGATAACTCTGCTTTAGATCCAAATCGTAGCTGTTGGAACCGTATGCAGCAGCGGATATTCCGTTTATCTTTCCTACTGGTTTGAGCATACTGTTTTCCTCTCCCATTGGCATTTCGAGCATCTGATAATGAAATCTCTTTGATGCTGGATAGAAGTGTGGTGTTTTGAAGTAGAAAACTTTCTTTATTGATTCTGCGAATATTTATTCATTTCTTGGATAACGTTATATGTCATTCAAAAAATATTCGTGTTCTTACAGATTTTATAAAAAATTTCTCTGGTGGGAACCGAAATGGCATACTTGAGATTCATAAAGCATATCATGGGTGTTTCCGGTTGGTGGATTGGGTAGAAATATGGCATCAAATTTTGGAATTTGATTAATGTTTGGATATTCATGTTTTGAATGTCGTTTCACCCGATGACGCATGTAGTACAAACATATTACGCATATCCCAAGGAGTGCTCCAACTGTTATGGCCACTGCTAGTACAATTATTGCTGCAAGCATTCTAATAGGAATTCCCAATATCCAAAACAATCAAATTTTTAAAAACACACTTTCCTTAAAAGCTAGCGATAAGCGACATTATTAAACTCAAAACCACTGCAAAATGAAACGGTATGAGAAATTCATAGTAAAACACCAACCAGCAGAAACCGTTTTGAAATTTGTTAAAAACAACGCATTTTCGCTAAACACATTTTTTAAGTTAATACGGATTTCACCAATAATAAGTCGTTGTTTTAGTTTTTCAGCAACCATTCTTATCGTTGAATTATCGAAAAGTTTGCTGAAATACATATCAAACTTCTTTCTTCATTTCTCGATGACTTGTCAGGATTACGCTCTCACCTGTACTCATCAAATTCGCAACTCCTTTTTGTTGTTGGATTTATAGCATACCAGCGCATGTCGACGTGTTTCTGCTTCTTTATATTAGTTCGGCCTTCTATACTTTCCAAGAGAAGTAGTTTACAAGGACCAGTGAATTCTCGCAATATTTTTGCAATCTCCTAAAAGCAGTCTGGTATATCCTTGTCGTTTTTGTTCTATCAAGCATACATTTTGAAGGAATTCAGTTAGTATATTAACAGTACCTAGGAATAAACCAACAATGAAGCAAAATAACTTACCCTTTTAGCAATTATGAGATGATGTGGTTCGGTATTGAGAACTGATAGAATGAATCGGTTTGAATTACTGATTATATTCACGAATATCTCCGCTTTGGAACACAGTTTCTTTACAGTATAAGAAGAGTCACAAGCGATCACCTCAAAGTATATTCACTACTCTAAATGGTCATTTGGAAAAATTTACCAAAAGGTATTGTCGTTCTTTTTTTTCTTCTAATAACTCGTTATTGTCTATAGAAATGATTTTTTTATTTGAATTCAAGGCGGATGATTATAAAGCGGAAGCAATCTGGAAACATCAGTAATTCGTGTGGCCTAGGAACTGCTGATAAACATTTAGTCTGGTCGTGGTTCATTTTCTGTTAAGAAAAGACCAGAGCCTTGAAAATGAATTGCATAGTGACTGAAAAACTACAGAATGAAGAAAACTCGAAGTTACTCTGCGATAGTTCGACATTTCAAGAAGATTAAAAAAATGAAAAAGCTCAATAGGTGGGTATTTATTTCTGAATAATCAAAAAAATCATCACTTTAATCTTTTGTCTAGATTGTGATTGAAAGTCGGTTATAGAATCTACTATAAGTTGAATGAGTAACTGGAAGGAGAGAAAGCACTACTTATTAATATGCACTAAAAAAAATGCTATAATATCAGACTTTAATATTTACTGAATCGCAGTGAGATACGTCGAAAATTGCAATAGCTCTAACCTGCACTAGTCAACAGAACGGAGTCTGTTCTTTTCTTTTTTTTTTGACAATAAACTCCTAATTATACGTTAGATAATTTGAATAAAAACAACTAACTCGGAAATTAAAATAATTTTTCTGACTATCTTTCATCATTTGTGATGCACTCATTTTTGTCTGGATTTTTCCGCTCAAATCAACCATAAAGTATTTCGAGTCCATTGAAAACGAATCCAACGAATATACAATAACACTGTTGTTTTTTAAACCGACATTCTTAGTCTGAATTAAAAATTTAAGTAAAAATCCACGTACTTTGATAATTAAGTAGCAGTCAGCGTCAGTTAATCATTTATCACTAACAGTTGGAATGCATAAGTTAGAAATTTGGTAACTGTCTGAAGGAAAAGATCTGATGCTGCCCGTCATACCAGAAAGATTACCTGCACGGTGGTGAGAAATGCAAATGAAGAGGCATCAGTGGACAAAGCTGCAAAATATCCATTGTATTCATCGTTATTATAAATGAATTTCGGACCATTATCGTATGTATCAAGAACAGTTACATGGACAATTGCATGGTCTACTTGTTGTTCTGTTTTTACGCTTACGTTTAATTGATAGGAGTCCACTGTTTCTCGGTCCAGTAACGCATGCATTCGAAGGTCGCAGTTACCTTCGGAGTTAGTCGAAATGCTAAAGATTCCTAAATTTGCTAACTTTATAATTTAAAACGGGTGAAAATTCTCGTATGACTAGTTTTAAATCTTTTCCAAAAAAGGCATCTTACCTCCGTAATCACCAGAAATGATTGAACAAGTTGTGAAACGCTCATTTGCTGACTTGTTCAGTACTGGTAAAACAAGTAACAGATGTGGCGAACGAATCGATTCCGATATAGAAGTGCTGAAATAAGTTTCAGAAACATGAACTTATCTTTAAACTTGGAGGAAGTTAGGATTCTTCCCACATAATGGCAGCTTTCTTACTATTTAATTACACATCATATTAAACTCACAAGTAATTCCGTTGCGAGAACTGCAATTTATTGTTAGAAAACATTGCATCAGACGTTGATGGCATTCTTGTTAAAATGGTAGTGATAGTTTCTACAGGTTCAACATCAATTGAAACAAGCGTTTCGTTAGACCGTTTCGGCGTACCGTCATCTGCTGCTTCTATATTTAACTGAAATGGTAGGTTCTGCAAATCATATTTATTAACACAGTTATGGGAATAGGTATATATGGTTTACAATTTTGTAAACTATGTATGACAAATTACCGAAATTTTTTTATTTGCAAGTAGACGAAGGTTTTTCTCGACAGTTAGTAAACCGCTTTTGGGATCTACATTGACGTATGATTCATTAGTGTCCCTTTCTTTGATCCGATAACGAATCTCGTTATTCGGTGCCTAAAACAATGTAATTATATAGGCATGCATTACGTTTCACTTTAAAATTTCCGATTAACTCTTTTTTTTTTAAAGTTTTGGCATACATTATTTAAAAATTTAGTTTTTTCAGAATACATCGACGCTCACAACCAGCTACTGAAATTAAGGTAATGATTTGAACAAAAGGCCCTCAGATTTTTTTACAAGAAAATTGATACAGAAATAAACCTATAATAATTTAGCAAATCACGACAGAAATGATTCATTTAAAAAACTTACGGTTCTATCTTGATCGTATGCCACAATCTGGCCAATAGCTGTGCCGAGTTTGGCATCTGCATTCACTTTAAATTGGTAGCTATCAAGCTCAAAGTTTGGTATCCAGTCATTGACATCTACAACATTCACATGAACCAAGGCCGTATATGGGAAATTTTGCTCGGTGAACAAAACAGTCGCCTGAAATATGCTTTTCTAGAATTAAACAAAATATTTCCCAGATTAACCAAATTCAAATACAATATTAAAGGTCTGTTTACAGGAAGGAAAAGCGAACCTCGGCAGTACCAACTTGAATTTCATAAGACATTTCTTTTTCCACATCTAACGGGCGCAGCAAAAGGAGCGATCCGGTGAAACTGTTTACACTGCAATGACTTCTTTGCTGAACAATGGTGACGGTGACTTATCAAGACTTCAGGTTAAATGAGGAATATTCAAGTTAAGCATTGAAGTTGTTGTCCAAGTTTTGATTTGAAATTTAAATATTTGTATTATGATGAAACGAACGCTTTTTATATGTAAAATTTCATCCTTAAATTTGACATATATAAATTGTTTGTAAATACTCAGACTGTAACAACTCGATTTTCATAGGACGCTTATTAGCAGTATCACATGATGTGTGACATATATAATGCTTCCAGACTTATTACTTATGTAATATAGAAGAAATTAAGAATCGTCGTCATATTTACACAGAAAGAATCATGAATGACTAAGCGCTTACTTAAAAAGAGATGAATCTCCTGCAAGCATGATATATGTGATGCTTCCAGGTTTACCATCCATATAATAAGCATGAAGCTTGACGAGTTCAATGTCTGCTTGATTTTCTTCTACAATAACTTCAATCTCAGACAGCTCGAACACAGGCGCAAGTCGCAGTGTTGGATTTTCTGCTGCTGTTTGCATGGTTGCTGCAACAACTGTTTGTGGTTATGTGTCGCGAATTTTAATACCACGAAATTCTAAAATATTAAATGAGAGTACAGAATAAGGGTAAGAAGTATGTTCTATGAACTCTTCTCAAAATAATTTTTATACCTTAAACTCTTTCTTTCCAATTTTATGTTTAGGCTGTAAACCTTTCATATATTGTTTACACGGTATCAGTTCTTCATTTAGTTGACCTCATTGTTGTCTTTATTTAACTGACGTCTTTTGCGCTTGTCAACTAGTAATTCGATTTGCTTGTAAACGAGGTCAACAGCTCATTGTTAGATCGATTACTCTTTCGGCAGGTGAACTTCTTATTGTAAATCATGTATTTTGTTTATGTATATTGCCTGCTATGTAAAGAGGCTACTCATATTTACAGCAGAGTGTGTGTTAAACGAGCAGAGTTCAACCAGGACGCAATTCGACTAAAAAAAGGATTTTCGCTACTTGGACTTCAATTCTTCTCCATCAAATTTATTGTACTACTTCCTCTGCTGGTAAATATTATATTCCTATGTTACGTCACACATTAATATCTACATCCAACGAATCTCCCAGAGATCAGTAAACCTATCCCAAAACAATAGTTTTTAAATCTTCAATTACAATGTGTTAATTACTAAATCTATAATTTCCTTTATTTCTCTTCCGTTGCTTATGGTTAGATTTGTATAACTTTTGATTTGGAAATAGTTTAAATCTGGAATTGCTTTTTTCAAACTATTCTAACCGCACTATACAAATTTTTCTGTAGTACCTGGTATAAAGGAATCGAATGTGAATTGTACATTTTGCACAGAACCAGTACTATTCAGCATCAAATTCGTACGTTCCAAACTATTCGATTCTTTTGATAACTGAATCTGGAAAGGTTCTCATTACATTTTGATCCATTTCAAAAGTTTGTAACTAAACATTTCTATTTATATTTGTACGTGTAATTTCTTTTTATTTTTTTAACTAAACTAAGAAGATCTTGTACATCTCACTTTTGCCCAATAAGATAGCATAAAAAATTTTTATTGATAATCAAGATCGCAATTTCCTAGGCTAAGATCGAAAAATGAGATCACAAAGTCTTAGTCATAATCTAATTTAATCTCCTCTAAGATTCTTTAGAATTCTTATAATTGCTACTTTTGTAGTATATGTATATGATTAGTTGGATATTGGATTGCAAATAATAAAACTAACGGAATTTGATAGCACACTTTGTGCGGTATTTTCAATATTGATGATTAGATTGACTCGAGTTTCAAGAGGTGGATCACCGTGATCAGTGGCAATAACAGTCATTCGATGCTCACCAAAATGTCCACTTAACATATCACCATTTACCATAACAGCACCGCTGTCATTTATTGAAAACAATCTGAAATATAATATTATTTTTTATCACTGATTGGATATTAATCATGTTTTCACCTGGTAATACCAACAACAGGGGCCAATAATCTTGTCAAAAATGGCGTATTAGTGGAAACATAATAGAACTGAATCTGAGTTGTGTAAATACCGTAAATTTCTATAAAACCTGGAAGGTTTGACAGGTTCTAACTATAGATGCTGTTATCTAAACACATACTTATTCATAGGAGATGCTATTCTGAGTCCCACATGTCCGTTATCACCGTCATCTGGATCTTCTACGTTCACTTGCCCCAAATACGTATTTGGGGCAAAATTGACTACACCACTTTTATTAACACGCAACCTCACTGGCTGCGGATCAGTGAATATTGGTGCATTATCGTTGATATCCTGAACAGAATTTCATCAAATTCACATGAAACTGAACTTGAACACTATTCAAATTATTTTGAATTAATATAAAAAATGAGAATTAAACTAAAAATAAAAAAGCCACAATTCACTTATCTTCACTGTTTTTTTAGTTTTAAAGAATATATGGTTTCCACCAATGTGCACGAATTTCTAATGAACATACCGCTATAACAACCTGGACAATCGTCCAATGCAAGTGTTGATTTAGCTTTAAAGAGCGTGTTTCGATTTCTAAAGTGTAAAGTGACGTTTCTTCTCTATCAAACGACTTCACCGTAATTAAAGCCCCACTACAATAAAATAAGTTCAAGTTTCATTTCTTTATAGAGAAATAATAGGTCTATATTGATTTACAGAAATGACATGAAATGCAAGTTCATAAGGTATTTCACTTTTCAGTTGAAACACCTTTTTTTTTATAATTATACAAAACTACATTTCGTTTCTGACAGCAAATTTGTTATCTTCGTTACCACCGGTGATCGTGTGATATACTTGTTCCTTCGTTGAATCATCCTGTAAAATTTCAAATATACTGTTTCAAAAGTTTCAGAAAAAAAATGCCTTGCAACAAAGGAAATCTTCTGGAATAATTTTTCTTAGAAACTTACCCCAAGTGTAATGATAATGGAGTAAGGTGGAATTGCTTCGCTTATTTCAATAACGTAAGTTTGGATCATTTCAGGTGAATCAATACTTTCTACAAAAACTGTGTAAAGTAAATAAATTTGCACCATTTCTCAGATTATCAGAGCGAATTGATGGTGTACTTGAAACAACAGAACATTTAAAATGTAATATATCATTTCGTTCGTCACTGATAATCTGTTTTAAATATCAACTAGTTATCTTCGTGCGAATTTCCAAATTTCCCGTTTTTGTGAATCATTCACCATCGATACTTATTGCTTCATATTAACAATATTTTCAACTATGGAAAGTTTCTCTACCCGAAAGATAAACTACTATAAAGAGCGCGATTCGTCCACAACGGACCAAGAAAAATCTAACGACTACATTTATTTTCTTTAGTTCGACCTCAGAATAAGACGAAGCTTTTGATGTGACATTCTGTGATTGTTTGAAACACATATAGAAACAATTCTTATGTAATTATGTTTGGCAATTACCAGATGTAGATGTAATCGATGACTTGGCCACTAAAAAATTAGATAGACCGGCTATCTGGTTCCGTCCGAATGATTCCTTTTTCTGGTCAAGCATTGTTACTTTTGGAAAATTATCAGGTACAGAATAAACAATTATTAATGCTTGATTTGAGAGGCCGCCACCATCAGTTGCTCTCAGTATAACCTGAAAATTATAGACTTAGTTTTTCAATTAATCAGGTGAAGCTTTAGAAGATGAACTATGAAAGATGTGAGTCGTCTGCATTCCTACCGTCATGAACATATTTTTACTGCATTGTTCAAGTAACAGTTAAAGTCATAATTTCGAAGTCATTCCAAGACCAAACTAAACGGGGCTTCAATGATCTACCATCGATGAACTACTGGTTTAAATTCAAATTATGAAAAAGCTGTTTATAAATTTATTAAACTTATGATGTTATCTGTGCTAACTTCATATCGTTCACCAGCTTTCAAGTTTCCAACAGCATTTAATTGATGCGCTTTACTGTCATACCAAAAATTATTGTACGCTCCATCACTTATTGACACCAAATGGTAACTTATTTGTGCATTTTTGCCAGTATCATTGTCCGTTGCATGAATCTAAATTCAACAAGAATATTTTAACTTCTTGTTTCTTATTTTTAAAAGTTAGAATGATTAGAAAGAAATCCGTATAAACCTTTATGACAGGGCGATCAATAGTACCATTAGCACTGACATTGGCAGTATAAATAGAGGAACTGAAGCGGGGTGGATTATCGTTGATATCCATAACGTGTATTATTACTGATATTGGTTCACTACTACGAGTTGGGGTCGTGTTTACTTCTCGAGCTTCTATCTTTAAATGTTTCGTTATTTTAGTAGCCCTTCAGAAGTAATTTTTCATTAGCTTTGCTCTTCTTCGTGAATAAAAGATTATTAAAGAAAACTTGCTCACATGAAGCTGATATGTTGATGGATTCGGAGGATCAGCATCAATATATGGTACATTTAAGTAGACATAACCTCTCTGGTCAACAGCAAATATGGACGAGCCTAGTCCTGTTAATATATATTCATAACTGACTGGAGACATTCCAGGTTTCTACAAAATAATAAAGTATGAAATGTCGTAAAATATTTTTTCATTTAAGAAAAAAACAAAACAAAACGAAAAGTATCAATTATGAGCAAAAAACCAAGGTATAAGAACTCTAATTAAAAGAATCTACATAAATAGTTGTTGAAATAATTCTACCAGGTCATCATCATAAATGTCTATTTGAAGTGAATCTGAAAATGCAGAAGGAGAAACTCGAACCGCGGTACCCATTTGTGCTGACTCCGGTATATAACCTTCATGCGATGAAGCCTGCAATTTTTGCAAAACTGGTTAAAGAATTGTAAGTGAAGTGAAATCGTACGTAGATTTTCAACAGTAATGAAGTTGATTGCATTGTGATAGCTGGAAGAAGTAAAATAGTTAAAGTTTTTAGATCTTTAAAATGTTTTTCGTTTCGGTCTTATGGTAGTAACAAACAACCAGGATTTTGGCAAAAAAAACGTTACCTTTAATGTTGGCGAATGTAAAGAAGAGATTTTGATATTGTTTTGAATCGTTTGTAGCGCAAATGTTGTTATCATCATCTGTGAAACGGTGTCGAAAAGTAGTGAACAAATTTGTAAGAGAAGGAAAACATTGAAACCGTACACCATTTTTCATTAATGCAAATTTTGCGACTCTTCTAGGATATAAAAAACATAAATCTTCGGAGCACAGAATCAGAAAATAATCTTAAGATGCCGGAAAGTTCATGGATACGAGACAGTTAAAGAAAAAATCATGATTAAGTTTCCGATATTAATAAAATCGTTCAACAGTAAATAGAAAATAGTAATAAGTAGCAAACGAATATTTGATCAGAAATTCCCATCTTTTTTCAGCTTAGATCATTGTAATTTGTCAAGAATGATAACAAAAGAACAATACTGAAGTCAACAACTGATATTTCAGTAATCTGAATCAGAGAAGAATAAGAATGCTTTATATGATTTTAATGGATCTCTAATTAAGGATTCGCACAATAGCGTAATAAATGTGAATTCTTTCTAGTATTCACGCCTATTTTTGTATGCTTAAGTTGAGAAATCACTGCGAGATATTTCTACGATTTAGAGGCAATCATTTTTGCGCTAAGCTGAACGAAAGATGCTGAGTTTTCTTAAAGGAAATCTATCAAAATTTTTCAAAAGCTTATAATATAGAGAAGCAAACCACATCCAACATACGTGCTGAATAAGACGGACAGTAGCATTCGTCAAAACTACAGAAGGTATTTTCGTTCTCTCACGAAAAGTAGCGAAAGATGTAAACTACAAAAATTGGTAAATATTGCCGATTGCAGGGAAAGATTGATATTTCCGGAACAGTAATTTTCCTTAACAAATGAGTTAATATTTGTATAAGGGAAAGATTCTTCTTTAAAAGAGAGAAAGATAAATAACAGTAATTGAAGTGGTAAGAACTATTGGTCACTTCTTTCATGGGATACATACAGACATAGCTGAACTCATCACCTCATCAAACAGGGAAAGTAAGCAGGACATAATCAATAAATCTTACCAGCCATACATATTTACAAAGCTAGATATATTTTTATACTGATCTGGGTAGCACATAAAAATTCTTTGGAAGATCTACAATATATTCTTGAATCCCCTTGTTACTATGAATTGCGGTATTTACATTACAGGGAAAGATTACATTAATATTTTTTCCACTAATATTCTAAAATTTTTCCCTGAATGAATTGATCGATGAGGACCATTCAGCAAACTCAATATTTCACCTAAGGAAAATTTTGTCAGAAAAGCTGAAAGTTCCAGTTTAAATAGGTCAATTTTTCTGATTTTTCGTTTGGATTATTGCCATATAATAAATAATAATATTACAAGATAATTAGGAATCACACATATAAATGCTCAAATATGTATGAAAAAGTCGGGATCACGGTAAAATAGGTGAAAAAAGAGATGAAAGTGAACTAGGATGCAAAGAATTTCAATTAGTTATTTTTTATTTGTTGTTAAGCAAAAAGCGCCGATTTCAATAGATTGCAAAACATCGAATTGTAGCAAAAAATTGAAGTGAAATTTAAAAAATATAGTCTTCATTTGCGATCAAGAAAAAAAAGAATTGTAAATCAATGAAGCGGCTCAAATTTCCTGCTACCAGAAATTCTTACATAACTTTTTGTTCATTCATTTTTTTATGAAGTCAGCAGTAACTAAGATTTCATATGAATTTTATGATTTATTTTAATTTACTTGGCCCATGTAACCTGCATTTTCAGTTCTCATTTTTCAATTCAACTTATCATTAAATTCCAAGTCTCAGTTTTATTTTCATTAAAAAAAAATCTAAATCTTAAGAACCAAAACTTTCAAAAATTATTAGAATTTCACATAAAGGTCGACTTCCACTCGTTTCAAGCTGTAAAACTGACAATGTTTATTGCAGTTGAAATTTCTTCAAACTAGAAAGCAAGAAGCAAGATAATCTGATTTAGCATTTTAGCCTCCCTCCTTCTTTTCGATTTATAGGAATATCACTGTAACTTTTTCAGAAGATAGAAATCAAGTTTTTTCACCTAAACATAACTTGGAAATAATTACAAGTCGTTAATCATCAAAAAAAATCTAAAATAATTTTGAAGCAATGTTTGACGAATTTTATAGTAAATTTGTTGGCGCTTACTGTCTTCTTTAAATGATGTAAAAGTGAGTATTTAGTTCGCTATCACGAAAAGAACGAGTACTTTGGAAAAAAAGAATTATTAGAGATCCTGTATGTTACAGACATAATTGGTTAAGGGTCTTTTTGATAACGTTTTATATTTTTGGGTCATAATAAATTGATGCCGACTGCGATGTCATAATATCCTGAAACTGAGGATTCAATAATAGTATTTTCGGTATATTGCATGATCGATGTTTGCAAATGCATAATTTACTAGCAACCACCTAGTTTCTTAACACATAGTTTCGCAATGTTTTCCTTTTTCTATCGCTTACCTTATACCTGTCAACATCTTAAGGAAGTGTAAATCACCACAGTCGAAAGAAAATATTTGAAACAACTTCGCATTTAGAGTAACACGCTCTCTTTATATTTCTTAGTCGAGTTCTTTGAGAAATCGAATGTTCAGAAAGTTCCTATTGATCTATTAATAACATTTTTATGTTGCTTTTTATATTATAAACATGCAAAAGCTTTTAACTTTTGCAAATGAGAAGATAAGGACAAGAATGATATTACACAGAAATGATTAAACATCAACCAAGTGAAGTGAAATACGTCAAGAAAAAGGAAGTTGAAATGTAAATTGCGAAAGCAAAACTGGGGATAGGTTAGATGGGACGAAAAGTACACAAATGTTGAGAACTAAAGGATCTCTGTGGTAAGTAGTGATGGAGTAGAGGTGCTCAGGTATGTTTAAAGTTTGATCCACACTCCTACAACGCACCACTGGACACCGCATCAAAACAAATAAAGCATATCTCCATTTCAGGACTCGACAGCATTACTGATCAACTCTTCTAGTTTACCATCGTTACTCCACATATTGATCACTGCATCCTGTCTCTAAAATTCGGTTACATGGCTTTCACATTAACTATAAAGCTCTTTTTAAAACATTCTCGGCTGTCTTCAAAACTTTTATTGCCTTTAAAAGTTAGCAAGATAGTTTTGACCTTAATTTTGAAATTCGGTTGATTAGAAGATATAACTCAATATACCTTCCCTTTTATTACCAGTTCTGAATTTTGGGAGCGCCAGAGAATATTAACAATAACGACTAGCCACACATGCAGGAGATCCATTGAATGTTAGTCAGTCTCAATTTTATTATGCATAAACTCTTACATGCTAGACTATTTATAGATATCCCAATTACAAGTATATATCTCGTATTAGTTACAAAGTCAGAGGATGAAATTACCAAAATCAAAGTCAGACAAAAGAATGATTTAAACAGACCTACTTTTATACAGCTATTTCCTTTAATGGATTGATAGTACAAAGTTTTTACAAACTTCTTCGATGTGAAGCTGTATCCCACCGATTTGTTATCGTTAATACACTTCAAATGTTACTCGGAATGATTGGAGTTGAAGTATTCCTGAAATTGAATAATATTTTTCTTTGGACGAAAATTTAACAAAAAACAAAATGAATTTTATCCAACTACTGTTGCGATATTGCGATATTGCATTCAGATGGCAGTGGACCAATATTAGCAGTCGAATCACTTCTCTACTCTTAGATATCAGGCAAACTTCTGCACACTTTTCCATTAATAGCACATAGTAGAAATAAATGTTGATGGAACCGGTCAGAACTTTCACTGACGATATTAACATATATTGATATCCTCACAAAATTTCCAACAGTTTCTGGACGAACGCATCTCGATGTTGTTTCCTTAGTTTCGTCTTTATCCACTGTGTCTGAAACAGGCAGATGGAAAATGCTGCTCATCTTGATCCATTCATGTTGAAGAATACATTATAAGAGAACAAAAATTCTCGAAGAAATGAAGCAGATTATGAGGAATTAAACAGACGCAACGAAAAAGTGACCAATTTTTTCCATGTACAAAATACGGACATTTATACGTATTGGAAGGTTGAAAAATCTGAGCTTTTAAATAGTCCACTAGAAAAATTTTATTGATTAACGGCTTTTTCGAAAGTTAGTTATCTTTTATTAATCTCACAATTTTAAATGAATGCGAACTAATTACAGTAAAATGTGAGCTGAAAAGAAAACCAAACATTACGTTGGGGAGATGCCATTAATACCAAATTTTAGCTCCGCTAGCATCTCTTCCAATTTCTTCATACTTGCTTAATCTATTAAATCATTTTTTTAAATATTTCCAGTACTACCCTATTCCAAAATTTCCACAATCCAAACACGTAATCTCATTCATCTATTTTCCACACAACAGATAGAAATACTGAATAGCAAGCGACTAACCATCAACTAAGCGCTTATTCACATTTTCCTTATTATATGTCTGGAGACATTCCTTAGTGTATGTTTCGATATATATACTGTTATTCTGTAACTTTCTGAACTCCTCCAACAATTCATTTTTTTTTTTAAATTGATTATGCGTATAATTTCTTTAGGTCTCGGTTTTTTTTTCTCTCTCTCTCCCTCTTCCTGCTAGAAATAACACAATCATTGAGGAAGAATCCCTTCTGACTTTTTTTTCTTTGTACCATTTATTTACAGTCCCATCCGCTTTGTTTCTTATTTGGGAGCAAAAGACAGCTGCTCGATGCCTTTGACACCAGGATATTGGTTGTTAGTCTATATTACGATTTAAATTAAACAGTTGGACAGGCTCCTAAATTGATATCAAAAATTTTAAACATAATTGATCTTGATGTTCAACAAGAAACCTGGATCTTCTATGGGATGTGTGCGCTTAAAGCTGGTGCTTATTAATATTAATCATTTATAAAAGGTAGTGATAGTAAAATCAACATTATGATGTTAGTTTAATTGTTCTGGAACATTATTGCTTTGCTCGGATTAACTGATGATGAAATCTTTAAAATGACACTTAAAACAACACTGCAATATCATAATCATATATTCACTCTCAGATTATCACATACGAATGACGCTGATCTCAATTTAATGCCATAAATGATTGGCAGAAAAAACACTGACGGGTTACTTAGTTTTTGATAAAAATTAAACAGTTATTAATTCTTTTATTGGTTTTGAAAAATTTCTATATCAGAATATTTGGATTTTAGTAATTATAGAAGAATTTTCAGGCAGCAAAGTTCTAAACAGTCATTCAAGGAAGTTATTCATTTTCTTTTCTCATTGAACTTATCTTAATCCTGACTAGACTTTGAAACAATTTTTACGCTACGTGTATTACACAGTAATGTAGGTTTTTTTCGAATGTATATTTTTTAATTTAATATAATTTTTCACATGAATGATATTTATAGAGCTGCAATTCTTAATCCAATTGGAGTAATTCTACTAAAGAAAGGCATTCCGATCAAGTAATTATTACTAAAGAAATATTTGTTATGGCAAGAAAAACATTTGAATTGCGTTCCAGTATTTCATGATTTGTTTGAATTTTTTTCGTTCGGTTCAGTTCACCTTTGTATAAACTTTGGCCGTGACAGGTTAGCATACGAAGCTAAGATTCTTGATTTTGTTTATATCCAGATAAATTTAGATTTTGTGGCTTTGAATATCAAAATTAGATTTCCGAATTAGTTAGCAAAGAAAATTTAAAAGCTTTTAAACGATGGATCCAATTAAGTCCGCACAATTCTTTCTGTCCTTTGTTTCTTTTCCATAATAAAGTATTTCCATCTCCAGAAGTCTTTCCAACATAGAATAATTTCCGGAATTTGTGTCTCATCAAGTATTTCCTTCTCGAAAAATGAGAAACATATAATTACATAAATGTTTTCCACGTTTCCTTCTCGAAAAATGAGAAACATATAATTACATAAATGTTCACCTTCTGTAAATCAAGTTGAATTTCACCCTCATTTTACTCGCAAAGAGTTAAGAGATTATTGCAAAAGTGAGGGGATATTTTTCCAGGTTAGTTTAGCATTAAATTTCTAGATTTTTTAAAATCAGTCTTCTTTTGAAAAAGTAAGCCAAATGGCAAAAACTTTTTTCTAAGTCGTTTTGCATGTTTTTGGGAATCAATTTTCTAATTTTAGGCTTATTCTTCACTTGCTAGGAATCATCCTGATCTCATGTCTGATTCTACAATTGCTGAAACAGCAAAAATACATAACTCAACACCTCAGGTTGATGCTTCAAATGTTCGTAACAAATTCGTTGAAAATTTTTTTTTAGCAAAGTGTTAAGTTATTGAGTAGTTTTTCACATTAGAAATGTTCCAGCTCGTTTTGTTAGCTTGGGCACTGAGCTTTGGTATTGGTATTATACCAAAGTCAGCAAATCCGGAACGAGTGATTGACAACTTCAAGGTATAATTTTTTTTTTTTTTTTGATTTGAGGGAATTGTAGTTCGACGATTGCTTTGTTGTTAGCTTTATACACCAGGTTCATAATTTTGCTGACTGGTAATTATGTCAAAGGAATCTATAGGATGAAGAGATACATTGATCTCCAGTTCGTGCGTGTACAGCCCCATATTTCTCTTAAGCACAACCACTTCTCTCGTATTTATTCCAACTTGGCAAATAAAGTCGAGGTTATGGCTCAAGTCTGTTTTACCTGTACTCTGATTATGGATAAATGAAGTGCTATGTCATCCTTAATAGCGCTCTATAATGCTTTATACATCGAGATATCCGGACCGACTATTTCTATAAGTGCAGTTTGAACTTATGCAATACTAGCATTTGTTGAAGACGTTTTCAAATAGCACGTAGGAGCTTATCAAACTAAAGTAAAAGCTGCGAAAAGTTCACACTTCTGTTTTGACTGTGAAAACAGATGTCGTAATTAAGTGAGCGATTTCGGGAACTTATTTGAAATAATGTTTAACTTGTAACGCTTAATTTTTAGGTAGTTGGTATGAAGCTGACAAAGGAAGAAATTGAAAGAATCACAGAACTAAATCGGAATAAGAATTATATAAGATGTGATGGCTGGAATGTGGATTGATTTATTCTACATTGACAGTTCACGTCAATATATATTTTTTTTAATGATTTGAATGATGGGAAGTATTACGTATTTCTCCAAGTTGCTTTTCAAAGATGCACTATCAATATTCTCTTCCTATATAATTTTTTTTTTCATCCACCTCTTCTCGTGGCTCCTTGTAATAAAGTAAATGTATCTGATAACGTCACTTTTGTTCAAACAAATCACCGGCACATTTCACTGTTAAAAAACATTGTAAGTAACTAAAAAAAGGTGTCAGTGTTCTATTAGGACTTCACCAAGAAAACATAATGATATCAAATCACATTTAACATTTCATTAAAAGTACTAAAAGGTGTATACTGTTATCGAAAACCTGTAGGGATCTGTTAGGGAAGTTTTATTGTTTGTGATTTGGAGTTAGTACAGTCAAATATGTTGTGAAGGAGTCTGTCGTAACGAATTTTATTCACTAATAACCACGTTACATAAAAAAAAAAATATTGGGTATAAATTTTCATGTGGTAAGCGTTGTCTTATAGCAATACGCATTTTCAAGGAGTTGACATGCAACAGCGGAGGCTAATAAAACAAATAGCTAGTAACCTTGTCAACAACTAAATCTAAATTTGGCCTTCAAATCAGAAAACTTTAGCAATCTAATTAGGATAATTTAATCAGGAGTAATTTTCTACAAATTCTTTGTTAACAAACTGCGACATTTTAAATAATACAAGTAAACTCAACTACAGTTGGATTTCTTACATGAGGTATAAAACTGAAACATTCATCCAAGAATTATTCAAGAAAACAATCCTTGGTCTTATGAATTCAATACAAATTTATTTCGACAACTATAGAGATTATGAAATTCGCATAGAATTTTAAATTCAATTATTTGCTTTTATTTATCCAAAGCCGTTGTGCAATATATTCTTAACTAAAGCAAAACTGAAAAGTAGAAACATCTACTTCCATGAAGACAATGGGAATTTAGGACTAGGCAATCAATAATTCCATTTTTCAGCACTTAATAAAGATTTCTACGGATGTTTAATTTTGGAAAAACGATTGCATGTCTTCCGAAACTAGCATTTTTAAATATAATGGGACTGGTAAAATTTTGGATAAGTAAGCAAACACAGTCGAGACAATGGAGTTTTTTTAGTGCTTCATTAGATATTGAGCGTAGGAACTGTTGACCAATCACCTACACCTATTTGGGACGTTGATCTTAAAAAACAAGTCTTAAGGGAAAAAAGATAACTCAGCATATAGGTTGTTGGTTATTTGTAGATATCACTTTAGAATTCCTGTAGTACTTTAAAATTATAACTGTTTAGAAACTTTCATGTCATCATTTAAAAATTCAAATTAAAGAATCTGTTCATTAATTGCGTAGTTCGTTTGAATTAATTCCTATGCAGTGTTACAAGAACTGATATAATCGCTGTTTTTCTTGTTAAGTATCTTATTAATTTCATTACCAACCACGATCGAGTTGATAATATAGTGGTCAGATTAGCAATATGCAGTTTTTTTGAACGTCTAGTTCATTAAATGACTATATTGGATTTTACAGCAAACTATCATATAAGTAATTAAATTGATGACTTTAATGTTTTAAATATTGTTTTTTTTAAAAAATACAATGTTCTAATAACCTTATTGCACTGACCTTATTGCTAATAACCTTATTGCACTGAATTATACTATTTTTTTTTTTCTTTTTTTTATTGGAAGTTTTTCAATATTCTAACAATGGTGTGGGATTTGAATCTACAACGTTATATTTGAAAAGAAATCAAAAGACACATATTTTAGAAGTGGAAATTGATATGGGGAGAATTGGAATGACCCTTTTCTAGATTTCTTAATTAATGTTTCTCACTGTTGAAAGTACACAACGTTTAAAAATAAACCCACTTGTCTTTTTAATTTTTAAGATTGCTTTTAAAGCACAGCAAATTCTGAAATCACGAGAATCTACAAGATAAAGTTCATACTGCTATTTCGGAATCTGTTGTGTAAACTTTAAGAACATTACTTAAAAGTAACCGCTTTTGATACCTTTATCTTCTATCTAAAAGAAATCCATTTTACTTTACGAGTAGATATTAAATTCTTTCAAACAGATTATTTAGTAGCGGAGAGCAGTACTTTAGCTTTTAACCATAGATTAATGAGAGATAAATTTATTTCCAAAGATGCAGGCCGATAAAAAACGGAAATGTGGGAGTTTGTCGGATAATCCGCCTGTTGTTCAAAAGTTTTAAACAAAATCTTGATTGTTCTCGAAATTATTTACCACTTTTGTTTTTCATACTCTATACATGAAGGATAAAAGCGGAAAGTCATTAACGAGGGATATTTGGATCTAATTCGATATATCCAATAAGCATGGGTTGCCAGTATGCATTATGATACCTATCTGCATGTTTAGTTACAAATGGATGTTATTATCACAGTAAGTCGTTGCGTTATAAAATATTAATTGAGATCAATATGCATTCTTTGTATTTTGCCATTCTCAAGTTGTATTAAATTGTCTCCAATTCGATCTCAAATCAGAGTCCATTAAAAAATTAAATCAAATTAAAAACAGATTTCGTGTATTCTGCCTGAATAAAGTTATTTTTTTTTAAGCTACCATTTGCTATACAAGTTGAAATTATGGACTGAAGAATCAAAAGTGTTTTGTGCTTTTTCAATATATACACTAATTTTCGAGAGCAACTAATTTTTGAACTATTAAAAGAAAGAAATTTTAATGTATTTAGGATGAAAATTTTATTCCAACTTTAATCTGCGTTTTTTTTTTTTCTTTCATTGAATGCATCTCACTTAATTAGTTAACTTACACAAATGAGAGCAAAGCAGAGCATCAACTAATCTAGAGTAAATGATGATTTGTTTCTGATTACTACTATTTATTTTTTCGAAAATCGTACAAAAACCGCTCATGTTCACCAATCTAGTTGAAGACTGAAGACAGAAAAATGTTTTTTATCTTATATTACCGACTATTCGGTTCCAAATAAGGAGGCCATTACTAATATTACTCTTAATTGCATAAACTTTATATGAATGAACAAACATTAATTAATGAACAAAAGGAAGGAGAACAACAAGCGTGTGGGTTTTTCAAATACTTTTTCTTAATTATGAGTGGTATTCTGCTCATTTTTCATAAATGGGTCGTCTATTTGATTATAATAAATATCCAATTAGTGGTTAAATTGTGCTCGTAAAGCTACTGGATTCAGGATGATAGGTTTTAGCAGCATAGACATGCAATTACAACGAAGTACTATTATAGTCATGGTAATTATCGGAATGTTTTATGAGAAATGATGGCAACTTGAAATCATAAATGCTTTTATAAAAGTTTTTTTTTTCCTCTTTCTTAAGATGACAGAATTACACTCTTCAAGCGAAAAATTAACAGCATGTTTCATGCAAGGAGATCACTTTGAACTACCAAATATTTAATTTCAGCATCTTTCTGTGAGTTTTTTAGATGTTCCCAAAACCTTCACACTATCTAAATGAATTAATACTGTTTACGTCCACGACCACATCATGTTAATCCTTTTCTTGGAATCTATATGCTAAATGCAGTATATCTATTCTTAAAGCGATTTATTAGCACTAAGTTCTTAGAAAAATTTATTTCTGGTGCGATTCAGTTAATATGGATGTTATTTACGTGTCTAGTAAACTTGTGTAAGACCTCGGTATTTACTGCGAAGTGATTGACAGTGCAGCAGTACGAATTAACACTATTTAGATGTGAGTACCACCCTTCTCTTTCTTCTTCACTTCTTTTCATTTATTAACTGAGAAATTATCAATGAAAACCGCTTATATTTGGCAAAGCTTTTGCAACTTTCTTAGTTCAATAAGCAATTAACTTTTTTCGTGGCATTCAAAAATTTGTACAGAGTATTACTTTCTTATAAAATATGTAACATTTCAAGAACATAAATTGAAGCAGGATAACAAATCGTAGCTACGACTATGAAGATCATAACAATAGTATTCTTCGAGATTTGATATTACAGGTTACGTCAAAACAATTTCCTAATTAGGGTTATCTCTGCAAATTCTTAAACATTGAACTTTCTCAACGGTAATCTACAAATTTTAGTCAAGAGTTCTGAGCCGGACCCAGTAGTTCGACGAGATCGCTTTTTCAAAATGAGTTCGAAACTAAATATGTTCGCAGTATGGAGTTAGGGAAAAAGAAGGGGAAGAGGAAGAGGAAGGAGAAGGGGAGGGAAAAGGGAAAGGGGAATGCATTGGACAATCCACCATCAAGAGACTAATATATGAATATCCATTTGTCGCAGTGGCATATGAGGTCATTTGAAGTTGACCTTTACCTGTTCTCTGTAGTGATCTTTTAATAATGGGAGCATACACTTAATAGTTCTCATTTTCAATCTCATCAGCCACTTTGCTTTATATAAAAAACGTATCGATACCCTACTGTACAGGTGTACTACTCTCATCTAGATCTACATCTCCATTCCTAACTTGATCGTGCAAGACTCAAAGGAACTGGACTGTAGAAGTTTCCTTTTTAAATTTGAATATCATGAGATTGAAAAATGAAATTATCTCCAAATATTTTTTAAGAAATATTTCTTTTCCACTAAACAACTAGACAAAAATCTGGTGTAGTTTTTAGTTTTAGTTACGATTGAATATTTAAACTGCAATTGATATTATCAGAAAACAATATGAGTCAGGCAGTCAGCCAAATGTTTATAAATGCAATGGTAATGATAGAAGACGAGGAGAGTTGAAGTGGAATGGAAGATGAGGAGGGAGTGAAACATCGACATGGACATGCCATCTTGACGGATCTCATTGAGTAGTGTTAAGGAATCACCCCCATCTGTGTCACAGATGCAATATGTCGGCGGAGGGACATTCCCGAGGGAGAAAGAAAGCATTGGAGAGAGAGAGAGACGTTGGAGGACGTTTCAGGCAAAGGAAAGGATGACTGTTGTGCTGCCGGGAGGTGCGACAATGAGCACAATTGGAGATGGGGAGAGCCATAACTTGATGGCAGTTTAGTTTGTGTGGTGGTGGTAATGTTGGCGGAATGGACGACAGTTGAGGAAAATGGGAAATAAGTCGTCGTCTTCGTCCTATATGCCTCCGTACTTACTGGGGTCAGGATCAGGATCAAGAAATTTCCTGAACTACGATTCACATTATTATACTGCACCTTTCATTGCACAGTCATACGGAGCACCTATTTTTCATCAATCAGTCAATTCGCTGCAACACTTCAGTGGCACTGATTCCGGATATATGACCAGTCCGGCTGATTCCGAACGATGGCGAACAAATGTTAGTGATATTACTGATAAATTAATTTTGAATATGGTTAACTAACTTTGCTAATTAAATTAGATTCAAAGTCTTGAACTGCCTGCTAAGATGTTATACCAATTTTTTTTTTTTTGCATGATGCTGGAAATATCTTCAGTCTGTTTAAGACTGTAAGTGTTTGACCAATATGCGTTCCTTTTTTCTCGCGAGCAGCAAAGTGGATTAATTATCGATGCATTAGCCTCCTATTCCAAATGTCTGATGCTCTATGAACATTCATTGAACCTTCAGCGAGTTCATATCGAAGTGGTTTTGAAGTCGTCATCAGCATTATTCCTCTTTACAGATGTTATTTTTTTTTTACCACTATGGTTGAAACTCATCAAATTAGACGCATAGTCGGATTTTTGAAGCTTATGACTTTGTGAAATTGATTTGATACGTTCTGGGGGCATAATATAAGAGAGCGTTATTGGAATTGTTACTACAATGAATTGTTTGAATCTTCCTGATTAGAAAAACTGATTTATTAATTTACCATTTGGCATTACTTTCTTGCTATGTTTGAATTAATTGCTTTAAATCCGATGAGTTCCTTTTTACCACCCTTCATGATTAATCAGTCTTTTTCCGCCACATCATTTTTAAATAATTCATTTGTTTTCAACCACGATAACTGTAATTACGTTTTTTGGAAAACAACTTTGTAGAGTGGTGCTGATTTTCTGGATACGGCAATATTAGATATTAATGAACGAGTTAAAGAAATAGGAGCATTACAGTGAACACAAAACAGATAAGTACTGATAAAATGTTGAGAATTCTTTCTTTTTTTTCCGTTTCATTTTCTTGCATTTCTTTTTTCAAGAAACCACCACTGATAATTTTAACATAAATCTTTTTTTAAAGCTCTTGAAGCTTTTTTCTTTAATAAATGTCTTCTTTTCTTGAAATCTCAATGTTTTCTCTTGTAGTATTTATGCTACTGCTCAGTGCAACTGACTATTTTTTGGAAAGATTAGGTATCTCGGATAATTAGGATGATTTTCCTGGTTAAGTCAGCAGTAATCGTCACATCCATTTCACTTTTTCATCTTGCATTCGTAAATGTATTCAAGATTCATTCTAGTTTTTTCAATAGTTTGTTGAAATTGACTGTCGAGTTTCTGCGTAAATATGCACATTGGGTGTTCAATAACTTGTTGAAATTAAAGTGTATTCGCTTTTTCTACTTATTCATTTTTGTTTCATGAATTTACTGGGTTTAATTTCACTTCATTTTTCTAAAAAGGCCTGATATTTATACCCATATGGACAAATTTTTTGAATTATCGGGAGAAAATTTGAGGGAAGAAAAGAAAAAAATGTCCTTAATTTATTAAATGCGTCGCAAGCAACCATGAAGATTCTTGCCATGGTACTCGTAGTATACAAATACATTATACATACACACTACGTAATGTGTGACACATACTCACATAGAAAACTTGTTTCTATTTGAACAGTCTATTCATTACTGGAAATTTTATTTTTTAATTGTTACTGATGAATTACTGGTCGGGAAGGGACATACATTCCATAGCTGTACTGCACTGGTAACATTAAATTTCCGCCATGATTTTTATTTTTTGGGTTTATATGCAATATTTTTGAATTTTCTAGTTTTAGAACACTGTGATTTATAAGATGCGAACACGCGCTGATGTCCATATTTTATTTATTTGCTAATGTTTTGTTGCAAACAGTCCATTTCGTTGTTGTTTTCAGGTTATTTATATTTTACAGAACTGGGAAATCGGGAATTCTCGTTTATCTCTTAATGAAGCGTTTTTTGTGGATGATTCACCTGGAAGACCATCGACGATAGTTCCATTGCCAACAATTATATCCATCCCGCCGCCAACTCTAAAACAATTCAAAAAGTTGCAAAAAAGGCACAAAAAAATGTTGAAAAAAATGGGTTCTGTTTCGGCGAATCTTGTACTACCACATGCACTAACAACACCTCTGTTACAATATTCTCGTGCTTTTTCTGTCGAGAACCTATCAAGGTTTAATTTTTCCTTTCTTTTTTTTTTTTTTTTTGAAATAATTTATCACATTCCCTGAAACAAAATTTTAGTTGCATTTAAAATTTGCAACTTCTGGTAATATTTAATTGTCACACTATCAGTAAGTAATAATTACTATTTAACAGTCATTTAATGGTATAATAATAAAGTTTGATTAATAGATGGTCATTGGTCACTCTTTATTTTTCACTTGCTGAAGTGCCCATTGAATTGATCAGGGCAATGTATGCGGAATGACAAAGATTTATTCCTCTTTGCAGGAACAAATGCATAAAACCACCAACAATTCCAAAACATACGTGCACATCCAGCGGAATAGCTTTGCACAGAATTTTATGAAGAGACTTTCGCTCCCCTTCTTGTTCCTTTTTCCCATTATCGATTTCCATTCAGAAAAAATTTTGCTTGAGCATTAAAATATTTCAGTTATCTTCCAATTGTTTTTGCAAGAAAATCAGAAGGCAAGACACACGAAAAATATGAAATTAAAGCTTATTCACCTCTAAACATTGAAAACTTTTATTCTTTACTTTTAACTAAAGGATGAGAAGTGTTCATATCTGATGGAAAATAATAAATTATGGCTTCGAATATTAATCTTCACTTCCATTTATACTGCAATATACTTCTTATGTTACTGGGAAATTTTTTGCTGTGCATATTCAGAATGCTTAGCGTAAGACCACTGTGATATGTTTGAAGAAGTTAGTGAAATCAAACTGTATGATAAAACGTTATAGTTTGCTTATTTAAAAAATAAGATAAATTTCCATTTTACTGTATTTAGTTGTCGAGTATTGCAGACAACTTCTCGATGGTTATGCAGATGTTCCAGTGGGAAAAAAGGGTATTTGTAAGGAACGCAGGAAAGTGGCGAAATGTCAAACGTACGGCAATAGTGTACCTAATTTACCTCCTGGCATACCGAAATCATCTTTTAATAGGTTAATATTATCTACAGTAGCTCTCAATCCTTCCTTTTGTTCATTTCGAAAAAAAGTTTGATTTTAAAAATTTAGATTTATGAGGACTGATGGGATTAATGAAATGCTCGCGTTGACTGTTATTTAATAAATTTCAGTGGCTGTTCAAATGGTTTGGCTGTATCAGATTCACGAATGACCCATTCTGCTCCATCGACGGATACATCTGATCGTAGTCATCTAACATCAACTACCGGTCATTCTTCATTACACCATCAAACGCTATCGCCAATACGGTTGAAGAATTCATCGAATCGGCATTTGCAGCGAATACAAGTATCCAGGAGTGATGCTAGACTAGGTGAAACACCTAGACGGTTGCAGCAATGGGATTTCGTTGCCAAAGGTGGACCATCAGCTATTGTGCGATATGAGATTGCTGATGTTATTGGTGAAGAAGCAAGCAGTGAAGTTATAAAATGTGAAACTGATCACAAATCATCGGATATAAACAATGTATCCAAAAAGACTGCAGCGACCAACGAATACAATCATTCCAAAGCAATAATTCCCCACGATTACGATGAGCGAAATTATGCATATCGAAGTGGTATCAGAGGTTCCATCAACAGGAATAGTCAGTATAGTGATTGTAACACAAATAACATTGGTGATATCAATCCGCAACGTAACATATCCGTTAAAATAACACTAGAAGCTGAGGAAGTCCCAGAAAAGAATGTTGATTTGTTTTCCAAAAATGTCACTAATTCAACCGATAACGACAAGGTTTATTTCTCTTTGTATTACACTTATATTTCAGTTAATTAGAAATGTATATCCTTACTGTTTATTATTCTCTATTTTGATCTTGTTTTAAAAAATTGTTGTCAGCATGACTATTTTATCTAAATAACCACATCGTTTGTACTGTTTCGTTAAAATTTTGAGTGTGTGAAGGTTAGAACCATATGCGTTTTTAAATCTTCTGCAGGTATTTTCAATTGATGAAACAACTTTAAATTCATTTCAACGATATAATTGTAATGTCACTTCTGGAACTGCACCTCAGAATCAAACTGTGCAGCAGACGCAGTTAGGATATTTTCCACTCAAGAAGTTCGTTGCAGTGTGTTTCATAAATACTTCAAATTTTCTGGACGGGAGAAATATGTTAAACACACTTTTCCATTCAATTATTTTATAGTTTTGAGAGAATATTTTCTTGAGGATTCTATTTGTTGTGCTTATTTCATTAAATGCTTTATGTAGCTTTGAGCTGTAGTAGAGTTCCAATCTTCAGCTTTTTAGAAGTGCGGACTATGGTTCTACGATCAGTTCATTAACCCAGAGTTCGAATATGAAGACCGAAGTTAGCGATATTGACTTCAGCTGGGTGAATGATGTCGAAAATCGCCTTGAACGAGAAATTGCTTTCGTGAGAGAAGGTTTCACTGCATTTCCACCTTATGTATCGCTTTGCATTTCAGTTCGTATATATTCTATCTTATCGTTCATTCCACTGCTGTTTTTAAGTTATTAAACAATGTTATGATTTTGAAGTCATTTACTTTGTCGCCTCAGCTTTTTATTTTATAATAAGTTTCGTAGATTCTCAGCAGCAGATACAGCGAGAGCAGCTACCAGTACAGTATTTCGGCGTGGATTTTGATCAATCCAAGCCTGGTAAAGATAAGGCAGCGGTGGTTCTTTTACCTGCATACACTGTCACCACAAAATCACTTGAAGTATTTGGTGAATGCGAATCTCGCAAAGAACTTAACCAAATACATTCCGATGTTCGTTCCAAAGCAGCAATGTTCGATACAGCTTTTCGAAATGAACAAAAGGTTCTATTATGTTTTTAGAATATTAGCAGTCATCAAACGTTTTAAAACTAATTTCAAGTATATTCTTACAATAATGTCCTTGTTTTTTTAGGCCGCGCATCGTTATCGTTCTCGATCAACTCCCCGTGGTAACGTGTACATACCTCAGCCTGACTACCGAAGTTATAATCCTATTTTAGTAAATATATCACAAGATTCGAGCCGATACGGTATTCATTCAAGTAATGCGCCCGTTTTAAATGGCCCCAAGTACGACCTTTGTCCACAACACTATAATGTGAGCTATTGAGTGATTGGAGTTAATTATTCCTGACTCAATCAAAATTTTTACGCATATTCCCAGATCTTTTAAGTATACTTCTTTTAAACCATTTCTTTGTTCTAAAATAAATGTAAATGAAACAGATTACAAATAATAAGTGATTAGGAAAGAACATAAAGCAAAACTAATCTGCAATGCAATCACATTCATCCAAGAACTCATCAGAATTCCGAAATGGAGGTAGTGAATAATACTTGTTAGCCCATAGAATGAATAGTTTCTCAATGTTTTCCAAAAGTATCTGTAGTAGCTAAAAAGCTTTCATTTCTTGGTCGCTAATTGGTTTCTTCACATTCAGGGAAGCAGTGATATATGATGCTCAATGAAAATGTTACACGAGTAGGAACAAAACGTGGTAACTCTTACTATAGTATTAGTAGTGAAAAAATGACTAAGCAGTAGCTTCAGTCTCGTATTCTGGTTATGACGAAGTGTTGCAGTATAATCGAAAATATGATGCAGCCAACTGCTACATCCAAATCCATCCCGATGTGTTACTAAGAAACCATGGAGAGTATCCGTCGCTTATTAAGCTAAGTTTCAATTTATTTTTTATGAAAACTTTGCATGGCACTTCACTTTAATTAAGTGTTGCAGCGCACTCGTCCGTGTATTCCAGATTTCTGTTTCTTTCATGTTCGTGATAGTGTATACTATTCATTCTAGGGTTATATCTTCGCTGAAGTGAGACATCTATTGCCGGCATCTTTCAGGATTGAAAAGTGCTTTATATATTGAAGTCATGTTTATTTTCTTTATTACTGTTGCCGGAATTGCTTGTTTTTTCTTCCTTCATTCATATGTTCCCTAAAAATATATAACCATCCGCTGAAGCTTTTAAATAATTCTTTATATCTATTCTAGTGATAAGATTTTGAATTTTAAGTTATCAACTTATGGATATCACCAACCGAAGGGCTTAGTATCACTATCTCCAATAAATTAAAAATTGGTATTCAAGAAAAAATTGTACACCTTTCTAAGACTACACACAGCCTGACACGTTTTTCAAAATTATTAAAAGCCTTGAAGGCAGCCAATCATCTAGAACTAGTGGAGAAGTGGAAGTCATCGATGAAAACACAAATGAAATTCAAGCTGTCCTTACCAAAAGACAATACTGCAAAACAGCCTATTTCATATGTATTCAACTAATATTTTGTGAATTTTATCTATCAATCTAGTTTCAGTAACGACTTAAGCATTCTTGTTGAAGACTTATTTAAGGAACTTGAGATTACATCAATTTATATTGGAAACTTCAACTTAATCATTGATCGCACAGATGAGCTTCTGATATAGTAAAAAAGCTAAGTTTTTTAACAGTTCAGATGCAGGTGCAACACCAGCTGTAACAGAATTTGATTGTAATGGAAATCCCTCCCCTAAAATATTCTAACTGGAAAAGAAAAAAAAAACTTGAAGCATGCATAAGTATCCTAGTAATGAAATAAAAGAAATAATTCGAAGCATCTGAGCCTGCCGGTAATAATTAAATGAATTACTATGCAAGTAAAAATTAACTGTTCCAAGACCGTCTAAATATTTGAGACCTACTTAAATTGATTTTCGAGAGATACAACTTCGACAGTTCTAAATTGCCAAAACAGTAGTTTGGTATTCCATTCACTCTGCAAAGTGACTACCAACAAGGTCGTATAAAAAAAAAAAAAAAAATGGGAAGCGCTGTATAAATGATTAGCAAACGTAGGAGTTGGAAAAGTAAGAGTATATTAAATGTATAGATGAAAATGCGAAACATAAAGTCGAACTCGGGGGAAAAGGACAGCGTAACTGGTAGTAGATGGAGAGCCTGAGTATTGCATTCCCATTTAGAATGCTTTACAAATAACTGATGATGGTGTTTCCACTTTGTAGGGAGCAAAGAAATATATGAAACACTTCAAGCGAATCGAGCATGAAAAAAAGCGTTATACTAATACGTATATAATTCATAATAATAAAAAGTCGGAATCATAAAAAAATATGCACTTTTATAATCTCATTTAATTTTGATTGAAATTACAAAATAAGTTTTTGTGTCGAACATTTTTCTCGTCGATCGATTCCGGCATAAAGATAAAGCTCCTGAAATTACAATTTAGAGGGAAGCTTAAAGAGTAAAGCAAAAAAGGGTGGGTGTTAGTTAGCAGCAAAAGTGGGTGTTCAGTACGCTTTGAAAACATAAGTGGTAACATGCGTTAGATTATGAATTTGTGATTATTACAGCAAATAAGAAACGGCACTGCAGTGTTCATCATTGATTTGACACAGATCTAGTTTTGGCGAGTGTTGAACGAGACATTAGTTCGTAATTTCTGAGACGCTGATTATTCTACTGCATAAACTGGCTTGATTTACGAGAGGAGAAAGAACCTGGTTAAAGAGAAAAGGGAAAACTGTAAGTATATGATAAATGCATGTAGAAGAACGTGTAAATTTACAGGAACTTTGTAAGGGGAAAGCTCTTTCATTTTCTTGAAAGAAATGACTACGAAAATTTTGAAACGAAATTGGAGTGTGAAACCATCAAAAACTGATCTAGTTTTTCCGAATAAAAATTTTAATTTGAACTGAGCTTGAAGTCGTATAAAAAAGACAATGCTGCAGAATTGTCACACTTAAAGATATTAATAAAGGAATCACATGCGAAGTTATCAGTACATAATAACCTTGCAATTATAAGTTACTCTTCCACAATGTGTTTGCTACGAATTCCACCCATATTTAACCATCGACAATCTCTGGTGCTGTTTGATGCTTATCTTTGTTGTCCAAAAACTATCATTTTTTTACGATAAGTTTGTTTTGCAAGTAGTCCGCGTACCAAAGCGCAACCGAGGAAACGGCCAATCAAACCTTTAAAGAGATCTTTTTAAATTAAAGTAGTGTGTTAACAACAAATACACTAAAGCCTTAGTTTAGGAGAAAGGTAAGTGAAGAAAAGATCTGGATAAAAGTGAATATAAGAACTAAAAACCCTTCGAAATCATTTTACTAAAAATGATTTGTCCAAAGTTCTTATTTTTGAATAAGACCCGAATGAGATGAAAATGAGATTTAAATCCACAACTGCAAATACCTTCGGAACATAAATTGCAACAATGATGAGAAATTCATTTCCATCATACATGAAAATAATACCTTCTTGGTACAGGCCTGTGTAAATTTCCCTCCATGAATAAAAATAATCGATACCAATAAAATTTTGATAAGTGATTATAGTGAGAGCTGGCATTCTAAAAAAAAAAATGCTCTTTCATTCAATATATATTTACAAAAACGTATGACAAGATAGGAAAAACTAATCTTGTCGATATAAATTTACTTCGAACATTGCAAAACGGCATGAGAAACAATACATTCCATTAGGAACAATAAGAACATACTCGAAGATTTGGGAAGGCAGCCAGTGTATGATAAGTCCAGAACACCCGCGTGGATATCCAATATGATATGATAACATCAATCGTGTAATGAGCGCGCGATATCAGTAGCAATATAACACCAGCAGCTGAGACCATTATTGAAAAGAAATGCAGCGGTTTCCAGCGTTGTGGACTGTCTAAATTAATTGCTAAAATAAGAAAGTAACCTTTTTTTTTTTCACGTAATAACATTTGATCTGACGTAGAGCAAATAAAAATCTGAAAAGAAGGCGATCTTATCAACAGATTTAATTTTTTATGGAAAGTCGAAAACTTTATGAATTTCGATATTTTCGTCTGCCTCTACCCTATTAAAAAAGAAACACTCTAAAACTTACATTCTGTGATAAATAAGCAACTAGTGACAAGAACAACTGTATGACCACTGTAAATGTAATCACCGCAAAGTGTATGCTTTCCGTTGATCATCAACCCAGCACCACTTACAATCCGCATCGCTCTCAGAAATATATTCCTCAACGTATAGTCAGCACCCTAAACCATGGGAAATGGTAGATAAGTAGAAATTGATAATAAAACAAAATCTATAAAATTTTTTTATATCGAAAATGTTAACAGTTCTGAATGGAATAACGATAAAAGGCACTGTTTAATTGCAAAGGAAGGAAATAAGGGTAAATTATTTAAGAAATATTGATTTAAAGTCATAAAGTAAATTCCAAACAAAAGCATAAACGCAACCAGAAAAAAAATCTTACGCTTAAACGTGGTGAACAATAATAATTAGGATCTGCAATAGGTACTTGTGTAACGAGCATCGTTAGACAACGACCAAAATATAACAGTGACCCGATAACCGCGATTCTTCTGCAAGGCAACTACTTTTGGCCGTAAGCATTCTTCGGCTTTTCTTGTTCTACTATTTATGCAGGTTTCCGGAATAATTGACGTTTCAGGTTTTTTTAAAGCATGTGAATGATAAGTGGTTAGGTAACAGAAACTAACAAACCTAAGTATAATCCAGCGGTGTCTGTGTAAGACAGTTAATGCAAGCATACATGTGAATGAGGCAAGCATAAGATATTCGGACACTGTTAGTGCCCAAGGAATATAAGGCGTATGAGCGAATACAGCATCTGGCAAAGGCGGCTCTTGTGGTACTTTTTCATGGATGAAAGATAATACGAGATCATTGCATACGGCTGCTGTTATCAGCAAACCCACTGATATCTTCAATTTCTACTTCCAATTAATTACTGATTTAAATGATTTAATCTTTTCGTGAAAAGTGTTATAATGTCACATCCATACAACCTATGATTTAATTCTATTTAGTCAAATTTTCTATCATCGTTTTTCATCCTTCAGAATTGTCTTGCTAATAAGACCACCATTAATTATAGAAAACATAAATTACCATTAAAAAAAAAGAAAAAACGATTATAGAACTTACAGCAGCTTTACAACGTTCTTTTGGAAATTTATCAAAAGAATTCTTTGATGTCTGAACGATAATACCGGAGTTGAGATCGATTTTAACGGCATTATTAGCTGATGACAGAAGACCGTTTAATAATGGAGCACGTCCCTCATCGTCTGAAATTTTTTAATAAGACTTTCAAAAGCAAATATTTCGATCATCACAACAAACTGCTATTTCCAATGCACTGCCAAGTCAGCAACATTTTTGTGAGTACATTTATTTCAACCCTAGAAATCAGCGTGATAAAATTATATCTAATAGAAAGAAGCACCATAATTATCTTCGGAATAATCTTCTGAATTAGAACTGCTACATATCCTCCGTGCAGCACTTGAAGCAGTAGTGATTTGCCCATCCAACATTACCTTCCGTGTGGTCACGCGTTTGGGTAACCTGCCAGGAAATAATTAAATATCACTTTGATAATTAAGCTGAAACACATAGTTTACTCCATACAAAAGCGGTAAATGTCTGCAAACGAAAGATGACATACAATAGCAGCAACCCTTTATTTTTCATTCTGCTCATTTTTTGAGAGAAAAAAAAAAAAAAGAAAAAATAGTAAAATTACTATTTTTACTCAACTTCTGATACAACTGCACACTGGAGGAAACACTGCCGTACCAGACTTCATTTTCTTTCATCAGCTAATATTTATCATTCCAGAAATATGTCCAACTAAGGGTTCCAGAAAATGCATTAAAATATCGTAAATCATCCTACTCGTTGCTACCTTGAACAATAGTAAAACGTATCTAGATTTTCCAGATGATGCAACAAATTGCAGTCCAAAATTTTATATTTAAATACTGCAAGAAGTAATTGGAAAACTATCCATTAAGATTCATGAATCGATCAGTAAAACACAGTGGAAATACGAACAAATTAAAACACTGATCAGTACGTACAAACGAAAAGAAAAATAAAATAAAGAGAAAGAATGCGAGCGGAAGAAATTAAACCAGTTATTTCGATTTCAAATTCTGTTACATATTATTAAAGCAGAAAAGTAACACTATTACTACAACAGTTAAAGCTGCAATGATATCGGAACAAAAAGTCAAAATATAATAAGATAGCTGAAAAGTCCAATTCGATTTTATTAAACCTGCTTTTTTCTTTTTTTCGCATTTTGCAATATGATTTCTGCAACTTATAGAAAAACATTTTTAAAGTTTAAAACAATTTTAAACTAATCAACAGCAATTCTCTAACAACCAAACTAAATGATTTTTACAGTATAAACAAATTACTGAACCACTTCTCACACACACGAATTATAAGAAGTTTTCAATAATCTGAGATTGTCAATAAATCATATACATAATATATTGAAAAAGTTACTGCTTCTACCAATCTGAATTTCAGAAGAATTCTAACGCTAATTCAATCCTTAATTGTTGAGAAAATTATTGAGATTGAAAGCAACTTTGCAAAGATTAAAATATTTGTAAACACTTGCAAACGACGCTACAAGGCGAGAGCGTCTCTGATTTGTAGTTCCCACACTTGCACCAACTGGAACTAGGGACGGATTGTCGTTACTTTCAATACCTGTGTCAACCAAGATTATCAGTGCCAAAAAAACCTTAGAAAATATTTTAAAACTCTTAAATGTAGAAGTATTCATTTAATCTCTTTGGCATTAAATCTATTCCCCAAAGGAAGTAAAAAAAATAAACTAGTAAAAAAATAATTTCTCTCTCTCTGAAAGGCCTAATACATTTTGAATCCCACTCTATCTGTCATATCCACTTTGTCGGAAATGGTTTTGAAATATTTGGTAGTCAAATATTATTATCCATTCATCAAATTCAGTTGGTGTTGAGCTCAGGATGGAGATGATGTTAAAACCAACAATTCCGTATAAAAAAAGCATATTAGCTAAAGGTTTTGCTTGGTCAAGTACGACTGCTTTCTGAACTTTTTGTTAGCAAAATTCAAAGTGAATTGTAAATAAGCAGTGCCTAATCCAGTTTTAGATGTTTTAGCACAGTATTTTTTTACGTAAGTCTCAGTTCAAGACTTTAGGTCAAAAATTCAAGACTAAATTCAACGTTCACTATCCAATTACTACAACAGTCAAAATTTTTTTCTTTAAAATTCCTACACTTCTTTTTCTCATTAACTTAACATTAGCAGTAGGACCATTGACAAAGTATCGTTATTTTCCATCCCGAAATTCAGGCATTAATTTCAGATGAATGGAATGTTATTGTAAGCTATCTGTACTAGTTTGCAAACATACAACACTAACAACGTCAGAACAATAACCATTTAAGTGTTGTAGTAGTGCGCAACATATATTCCGATTGATTACGTTCTCCAATTCAGTGCTCAGGTCACCACATACTGAACGATCTATAACATAAACTATCACGCGACTGAATGATGATTTACAGCATTACTCCATTCTCTAATGTCCACTACTTTATTAAATCTGATGGTTTTTGTGATTTTCGAATTCAAAAATAATACTGTGGTCGTAATAAGTTTTTAACTACTGTTTGCAGATCACTGTTTCTTTATTTACTCTTTGCAAATCACTGTTTCTTTATTATTCTTTATTTGTAAATCATTTATTATTTACCATTTTCTGCTGATTGAATCACATCAAACGCAGACTTTCACGTCATGAGTAAATTGCAAATAGTAGATGTTTAATGAATATAAACCAAATAGAAATTTATCGAAATATAGCTTTCATGACGTGTAATTAATTACTGATTATACTGCGTAATATCCCAACTACTTGCCCTTCTCTATCTTATTTGTTATTACAGAGTCTACCCTATGATAATTCCCCTATATTGATAATGGTGGGACACCAATGTGTTTCTTCAGGAATCGAAAAGTTTAATTTATTCTTTGAAAGTTCAGACGATTAAAACATCACAATATCCATATATAATTCAACCAAGCGGCTTTTTGCAGTATTTCGAAGATCAATCAACTTAGTTCAATAGAGATGAAGAACATCAACAGTTATTCACTGACACTGGCAATAGGGAAACAAAACTTGAATAAGATGTGGGAAAATTAACAGATACAGTCTACAGATGAAATTAACAGATAAGATGAGAAAGAGGAGCAGACTATCCGGGAACATCACAGAAACTTTTGTTTCTTAAAATTAAGTGACAAAAAAAGCTTCAAACTGTTAGCAAAAATACACCAAATTACCAATAATAATGCCACGTCGAAAGCACGAAAACACGAAACAAGTAGCAAATCACTAGCGACATATTATCACTGTCATTAGCACTGACCATTAGCAAGTCAATATAGCGCTGCAGCAGGTCACTGGCGTTGTTGCGAAAGTGAATAGAGCAACGTTGTAGGTTGATGTGGGAGCTACCAGATGGTTTTCAAATTTTTATGTTCGAGAGCATGCTTGTTTCCTCTTTCTCTCTTCTTCCTTTTTCCATCTTTCTATAGCCTGAACCTCTTCTTCCTATTCCACCCAAATTCAATGAATAAGAGGTATGAACACACCTGCTTCCTCTCTGTATATATTAAACCGATTATATGCTATCTCATGTATTACAGCATTAGCTACAAAACGACTGACGCTGACGAGTGACGACGCTACAATCATGTCAGAGAAATGGCTTTGTTTTTAAGATAGATAATGGAACTTCCCAAAAGAACACATGGAAATGACCACTTCGCTAGCTTTCTGAAATTGAAACAAGAAATTTTACCCTACTTTCATCTATATAATGCATAATTTCATCCCACGCGAAATATATTCGCTCGCCTGCTTACCAGCTGGTGATAATCTACGGAGTCACTACTACACATATCACTTCACAGATTACTTCATATAATGATAACATAGATTATTATTTCACAAATTCACAAATTACTAAGTCATCACAGTTCGTGTAAATGAAAAAAAAAAAACAACTAAAAGCTGGCCTATTCTCCAGAAATGAAACATTATAAAAATATGCAGTTCAAAACAGAAGACATAAGCAGGATGCGCTGAGCTTGCTGGCGAAGCAACGCTCTCATAAAAGTGGTAATATTTAGAGTGCCGTCATTTAAATTGTCAAAGCTTTGGCCATAGAAAAGTAACTAATTCCACAGATAGTTCTGCTAGTGTGTCTATCAGCGGTAAGTTTAGCTTGCTATTCGTATCGAAATGAATTGTAGTGCAATAAGTATAACACAGTGTAACAGATGATGGCGATGGAAACAATGCGGGGATGAGCTAGAAGGTATGATGCGAAGATAAGGATTGATGGTAGCAGAGTATATGTTCACATTTAATTTTACTTCCATAACGAAGCATCCTATCTTCGCCTTTGCTCACCTACTTGCCTATCTGTTATTTCAGTCTTAAATCCTCCCTCTATCCTTTACTGCTTACTCTGAAAACAAAGTAATCTTTGTTAGGCAACGGGAGATAAATTGTTGGACAGTGCGCCTCCACCACTAATGTTTCATCTCTTTGCGAAACAGAACAAGTTTGTTTGTATACAACATATCCAGCAAGCAACTTATAACCAACAATGAGGATAAAGACGAGAGCGAGTTGCACAGCTATGACAGTATGGACGGTATAAATTACTAGATATTGTTGGTATGGGCCAGGATGATTTAATCCTACAAAATCACAAGACGCCGGATGTAACTGCATAGAGGATTTTAATAGAAACGACTGGCAACCAACATCTATAAGTATATCATCTGCAAAGTAAGAAATTAAGTGTAGTTGACCTACAAAAGGAAGTAAGACATTTAGTGTTCGTTCAACAGTGACTACATTGTATCAAAGGAAACCTAAGAAATTAAAAGAAACTAGGACGTTGTTTTAGGAGATTGGTCGATTCACAATCACTGCATGCGAAATACTGGAAGTTTTAAATTAATAAATGTAGAATTTTGTGAATGTACAACGGTTCAGCCAAAATATATGCTTTCTCTGATGCATAAGTTGTTTCCAAGACAATGATGATTTATTGAAGTTCGTTGACAACGCCCAGTATTTTTAGACACAATGTATTTGTACTCTAGGCTCAAAATATTAAACTGTAATTGTTAAGAGTGACGAAACTTAAACAATCCCTCCGGACGAATTCTGGATGAAATAAATGTGAGCACTTTTACCACTGCATATTAGATATAGGATGATGAGAAATAATCCTAAAGAAAAGTTAAAAATGATAATAACTTTAAGAAATTTAACACAATCTTGCTGTTGAAAACGTTGACTCGATGCTTGCTTGTCACGATAATCCATCGATTATAGTGACAATACAGAACAAATGGCCTGAACACAAAAAATAAAACACAGTGAACATTCATTTGGCTTATTGATAATTGCTGCTTGTGGAATGATAATGCTAAGACACTG